CCCCCCCACTGAGTTACTCACCACCTCACCAAGTCCTGACACCCCTCCCCCACCTGTCACTTTCACTCATGACCAGGTTCAGAGATAAATGAGAAGAATCCACTCAGACAAGTCTGCTGGACCGGACGGGGTGAGTCCCAGTGTCCTCAAGGTCTGTGCCTCCAGCTTTGTGGAGTCTGCAGAGGGTCCCATTGCTGAGGATGACATCATGGCTTGTTCTTGTAACAAAGACGTCACGTCCCAGTGGCCCCCAGGATTACAGACCTGTGGCACTGACCTACCACGTCATGAAGACCCCCTTTAGTTTGCTTACCAGCACGCCTTGAAGCTCGGACACCATCATCTACCTGCTCAATCGTGTCTACACCCATCTGGACCAGCTGGCAAGCACTGGGAGAGTCATGTTTTTTCACTTCAACATTGTGTATCTGAGAAGGTGATCAGCAACACAAGGGCACCACAAGTTACCGTCCTCCCCCCCTGGACTGGGTTAAACTTCTTTAGGGTGGTGTCAGAGAGGCAGATGTTGTCCAAGATAAGAACAATGCTGAACAATACACTGAAAATCATCCCTGCCTGTGGCTATCTCTGTACAACTCCTCCATCTGATGCACAGCACACACTGCAGTTGTAACACCCCTTTGCACATCCTCTACAGTAAAATAACAAATAACAATGCTTTACAGTTTAGAGTAAAATGTCAATCCTTGCAGGCAGCTTGCAGCTACAGCCACCATCCACCCGTCAGTAAAAGATGCCACACCCCTAATAACGCAAGCTTTAAGCAGGTGAATTATAAGAAAAGCCCTCCCCCTGTACAACTGTTATAATGGGGGAAATTATCTATAGAGACCAAAACATTTCTGTCTATAGCAGGGGTCTGCAGCCTTTAACACCCAAAGAGCCATTTGGAGCAGGTTTCCACGCAAAAGAAAACACTGGGAGACGCAAATACTTTTTGACATCTAAAATGAAGATAACACTGTATATATTGTTTCTTACCTTTATGCTTTTTGTGAACAACTAAGGTGTGTTGCTTATGAAATCCATGAAGTGCTACAGAGAAAATTACATTTTATTTATGTAATGAGCACATTTTGAACTCTTAAAGAAATATAACAAAAGGAAAGCTGAACTTAAAATGATCCAGCAAACAAAAACTGCTGTGAGCCGCCATCCTTATATTGCCTTTGGGCTTTTGGAGCCTTCACCTGACTTTTAAAAAATAATTGAAGAAAAAAACATTCAGCCTAAATATGTATTTTACCTGGTTAACGTGTGTGTCGGGGCGTGGTCTGCAGCGGCGCTGCAGGGGAGGCGGACGCACCTGAGCGGCACCCGCAATCACGCCTCGCCGCCTTAACGTCTGTGCCATCTCGGGTACACCGGCGAGTGTGACGCTTATTTTGATCGATGAAAAAATAATAAATATAATTTTATTTTTATATTTCAATATTACAATAATCTTCCAATTTAGAACTATTAAAAAAAGAACTAACATAAATAAAATACACTTCAGCTAAATACTTAATTTATTTTCCCAAACCACGCGGAGCCGCAGTATAAGGACTAAAGAGCCGCAGGTTGCCGACCCCTGGTCTATAGGGACTGACTTACTGCTGGAACCCCTAGTGGACATGCAAGGAACTGCAGGGTTTTTTGGCACTTCTGTGTTGGTTTAAGTTTTTTGCTGCTTGGATAAAAGTAAAATTTCCAGTCCTTGTTGCAGTTTCAAATCCCTCTGTGGTCTGGTGATGAAGTGAAGGGACGGCCCATTTTCATTCCCAAAGTGTTAAACTCTGCTGTACCATTGAAACTGTTGGTGTCTCAAAGTGTCCTTCTGTGTCCATGTGTCATGGCACCAACATTGAAAGCTTCTCATGCTCAGCTTGTCATGTGCATACTTAAAAGGGTATCACAGTACCCCAGGATCACATTTAGAAGCAACTGGTAAGCTTATTTTCTTGTTTAGTGCCTTTGAAGCCAAGCCAACATCTTTTTCTGAACATAACCAAGTAGTCTTTGGTGCCCAAACCTTACCAAGTTCATAAAGAACACACAGACTTACTCGACTGTCAGAACCAGAAAACCAAACACCTCCAAATTTATAATTAATCAATCCTTAAGAGGATTGTTCATTCTAATATTGCTTTAACCCAGTTCACTAACATCACAAAGCATCTTATACATGTCTCTCTGATGTCAGCAGCATCTTTCTCATTTCTGGCAGCCTGTGACTGATAAGGTGTGACGAGCAGTCCCAGCCAAAATACCCAAGTGTGCGCTATCTGCAGAGGGCATGGATGTGCATGTGGCCTCACGGCTTCACAGCTGTTACTGACTGGATTTAGGGATGTTTTTCTCAGATGGACAATTAAAGAAAAAGCACAAAAACCTGAGGTTTTTATTGCTGTTACCATGACGATGATGGTCCTGTAACCTTAGAAGGTAGTTATTTTAACCCTGGCTGTGATCGTTCTCTCAGTCTAATCAAGTTGTTTTTGTGTTTAAACCAAGTCTTCACCACTGCTCGGTCACATGGTGGCTGTTTATCTCCTGTAGCTGGTGTTTTTCCCCTCCAGCCTCTCTCTTCACGCCCTGCAGAATCAGAGCATCACTTTGAACTTTTTACTGCAAACATGGTCATTGTCCTCTCTTTCTCCTGTCTCAACTCAGAGAATCAAAGGGTTTTGTTTTACTTGAGCTGCTGCCAACAGTTTTTGTTTAAGTGTGGAGATCAATCTGCATATAATGAGACACTGTGAGGAATTTCTAAAGCAACTAGTAGATGGCTATGTAGATGTGGACACAAACTATCGTGCAAAAGGAGTAACTTTAAAGAACTTAGAAATAAAGAAAAACAGCAAAAACAAAATGAGAAACTAACAAATGGAAACAAAACCTTCTTAATTCAAGCAATTAACACACAATTAACACACAATGACTAAAGTAGGAGTGTCGTCACATGGACTTACCGGAGGTGCACACAATCATCAGCAGTAGGACTGAAACCAAGACAAATAATTTTACAAGTGAAACTGTCAAAAGAAATCATGAAGAATAATCAAAACTGAAGAAAGACTGAACTAAATGCTGGAATCACAAGAAGATCAATATCAGTTTTCTTTATCACATTTAAAAGCAACAAAGTTGACCAAAGTGCTCACAATTAGTTAAGAACAAGAGGATCAATAGAAGTTAGATGAATCGAACTCTGTGATGTGTTTTTACTGTTTCTGGGTTTTTGATGTCTGACTGCGGCTCCTTGTGTTCTTGAACTGTTTGTCATCCTGTCTCTTTGGTGGATACATTTTTATTTGCAACAAACTCAAATGAAACTTTGCTGGTATTTGGTCATAAACTGGAACAATACAACCCGATGATGGTCCCAGTTATTAGAATTCATCCTGAGTGAAACGAGTCAGGCTCGTCACTCTGGAGAAAAAGTCTGATCACCAAAGTCGCTGAGATTCTTCTTCCAGGGAAGGTTGTGACTGACGCTGTAAGGACTCAGTTAAACAGAAAGTAAGGTTAGAAGTTGAGTCTGGTATCCAAATGTAGGCAAAAAGCAGAGCTTAAATGTGCTCTAGAGCACATTAAAGCTCTGCTTTTTGCCGGGTGTCTGCTCAGAACATGTTAGACTAACATGTTCTGAGCAGACATCCGCCCCACGAGGGAATCTTTAAGGTTTACCCAGAATACTCTTCTTGTTTTCTACAGTAAATGATCAGAAAACAGAGCAAATATCCAGGGTACCAATGCTTCCGCTTAGTGAAATTATAATATTTAATCTGATGCTGAAACTGATGTTCAGAGAAATGAGATTTTGCCTTTGCATTGTGACACGTGGAGAAAAACTGATTTGATGACATTCACAGTTTGTAACAGAGCCTAAAAGTGTTTTTCAGTCCTGGAAATTTCACGTGGGCATCTACTGTACTTAAAAAGCATCAAATTTTAACCTTGCAGATGTTTTTATGGGGGCTCTTACACTCATCATTTATATGCAGGTAAAACTTAACTTGGCTTCATTTGATATGCAAAAGTTTTTATAATAAAAAATCAGCTCATCTTTGGGTTTTTTCCATTTATGATGGATTTTGTTTTGGATTGACCCAGTAGCACTGTGTTTACATACACTCACTGCCTGACTGGGTCATTGTGTTAGTGGCTGTCACAGTTGGGTTCTCACTTCTATAACGTTACAGTAATACTAACTGTGAGTTGGTTGTCGAGCTGTTCCTGCGGCTGAGGTGGGAATCGGTGCCCTTTTGCCAAAACTTTTTTTAACCTCAAACCAAAGGCGCTTGTTAGAGCTTAAACCAAATGTTTACGCAGTTTTTACCTTCTAGTGTCAACCAGGAAGGTCAAGTCAAAGCAATATGAATGAATAAATAAAATAATTTAAATAAATAAAACAGATTAGATTAAACTAGGAGAGTAAATTAACAAAATAAGCCAAAGGAAAAAATTCACAAAAGTGCGAAACACAGTGGTCCCAAACTGGAGCCTCACCTCTCCAAGCTCCTAATGCACGTTGTCATTAAAAGTTTATCAGTTTATTGAGTCTGTTGGGATCTGTGACCCTTTGTCTCTGAAATGAGACTAAAATTAGATTTTTGACTTTCACAGGACACTTTGAAGGTGGAGAGGAGATGCAGGTAGCATCAAACAAAATGATATCGTATTACCTGCTGTCATATTTGAGCTGGGTTTCTTTGTGATGGATTCAACACCCCCATAAAGAGTCACAGATTTAATACCAAAAGATCCAAAATGACTGATTTCTAAAAGGGAAAACGGGAGTAGGTGTGGCTGAGGTGTGAGCTGTCTGGGTGACCGGTCACTGTGATGACGCACACGCAGGGAGGGAGAGCAGGAGAGAGAGAGGTGCTCCGCTCTCAGCATCACGTCTCCTCAGTGAGCCTCCTGCTCTGTGACGGAGGAGCAGCTCCCCGTCTCCTCTCCGACGCCGGAAGCTCTCAGTTGTGACGCTGATGGAAGATTTAAATTCTGGGTCCGGAGCTCCTCACTGAGGACACGCGCGTAATTCTCTGTGCGTCCTCGCAGCACCATGCCGCTCTTCCTCGTCTGACCTCCTCGCTCTCCTTCTTGGATGAACTTTCTCGCTGCCTGCGGGGACGCGGCCGCTCGCTCCGAGATCATGAAGACGACGCGGAAATGCCGCGCGCTGCTGTCGGTGGGTCTGAACCTGGTGGCCCTGTTCTTCTCCACCACCGCCTTCATCACCACGTACTGGTGCGAGGGCACCCAGCGCGTCCCCAAGCCCAACTGCAGCAAGCAACGGCACCACAACTGCATCGACTACGGCGTGAACGAGACGGACCAGAACAAAGTGCACTACAGCTGGGAGACCGGGGACGACCGCTTCCTCTTCCGCCGCTTCCATACGGGCATCTGGTACTCCTGCGAGGAGAACATCCACGAGTCAGGTGGGTCCATCAGTCCGAGAGGCTGGGGAGATTCTGGGGTCGCTTAAAGTTGTTAAGAGAAAATAAAACTAGAGCAGTGTCGGCTTTAAGATGAGTGTGAAGTATGTGGAATACTTTTCCCTCTTCACTTCAGTTTTTATTTATTTTATTTTTTAGCTCACCTGCAGTAACAGGTCAGACAATGTCCCCCTGAAATTAAAGCTAACACGCCAGCCACGTCATTTTTACGCACAACCAAAGGAAAATGTTTGTGCGTAAAACCTGTTTTCACTTCGAGTTTGAGCCGCACTGATGTTTGTTTAGTCTTTGGACAGAATTTTAAAATGATAGGATGTGGTGCGTTCAGAGGACACTGCTCTCACTCATTGCACGCTGATCGATGTGGACAATTTAAGTCAATGCGCTCTCATTTTTCAAGCAGAAATTGAGCTTCTAAATCTCCGTTTCCCTCAATAACAGGACAACAAATGAAACATTTTTAGATTTACATTGAAAATAAATATTTTTATGCTTTTTCTTCGGTCTGTGCTTCTTGTCATAAAGATAAAAGTTGACAGAATTCAGGGAATTTGTTAGTGCCAGAAAGGAGCACAAAATCTTCACTCCAAACCACGTCTGAAGTCAAGCAATCCTAGATGGAAATTCATCAGTTAGGACCAGAGAGTGTGGCTGCACTGAGACTTTAACCTTTCATGTGATGGTGGATGATGCTGGTGTGGGTCTGCTCTGTGCAAACATGATGTATTCACACTGTTTTGGATAAATGTGGAGAGCTGGGTGATGAATATGACTGAAGCTGGAACTCTGAAAAGAACGGCCCCGTTTACCTCCATACTCTTCTCTGCTCTGGTTAGTTCCTCAGAAAAGCAGAAAGATCTCAGCTTAAACACATTCAGCATACCTGCTGCTGAATTGAAAAGCATCATAAGGAGTGCAGTGAAGGAGATGTGAATGTTTTTCTTGTGAGGTCTCTGGTGGGTTTTGTTGTGGGTGTTTGTATTTTGTATAAATTGTTGTAAATCTTGAATTTTCTGTTGTAATTGGTGCATTTTTAGCATGTTTGCATCATGGCTGCTGTCTTGGCTGGGTTTCTTTGTGAACCTCCTGGTTAAATAAAGGTAAAAATAAATAAATAAATAACACATGAGGCTCTCTGCTCACATTTTCTCTTCCTGCTGATGAGACGTTTAATGGAAAACTCAAAAATTAAAAGTTCAGGTCTTCAAATCACTTATTTTCCCTCAGTCCACAGTGAGGAGGCGCTCAGGTGATGTGCTGGACGCCCTCACATAGAAGCTCATACCAGTGGGACTTTTTGCTGTAACCGTGTTATCCAAACGGTGTGTTGAGGAGGTGCTGCCCTCTCCAATCTCCTGGATTTCCTCTCCTGTGTTTTTGGATTTATAGTTCCAGCAGTTTGTTTCCTGAACTTTGTTATCAGCTGCTGAAGCTGGCTTCCTGTTGAATGGTAAATGGCCTGTATTTGTATAGCGCTTTACTTGGTCCAGTTCTGGTTAGTTCTAAAGCTGCCAAACAAAGTGCTTCACAGGGGAAACAAACTTCATAACAAGCAGGTTTTAATAACTCAAAGTTAACTTCTGGTCTTTTGAATGAAAGATGGCAGAGGATGAAAAACAGAGATCACTGATCAGATTGTTTTTGTGAATGCTCTGATGGTGGACGGCTTTGAACTGTGGGGTGGTGTCACCTCCTTACCTTTCAATAAAGGATGGTCTAATGTATCCTCTGCCAAAAGAGGCAATAACTCTGAAGCATTGTTCTTAGTATTTATATAATCCGGTGAGACTTATTGTGGCTCCCTCACAGACATTTCCACATCTGTCAGGACTCTTATTAAGAAAACTGTTTCTACCTCAGCCAGTGTCCCTTTACTTTCTGACTTTCCTTCTCTGTTTCCATCTTTGTGATGAACTTCCTAAAACTGCTCCACGGTGCAGTTTTTGACCAAACAGGAGAAACCTCTGCTTGTCAGGGACTACTTTCAGCTGCGGATTGATCCCCATTACTTGGAGCTTTAGCTGTGAAGTCTACAGTGAGCTTTGCCTCTGTGGGTCCTGTAAGTGTTTCTGATATTTTGTCCCATGTGAGAAGCTGTAGACAAACAAACAAACAGGATCTGTTCTGTGCAGAGACGAGTGGGAGTGAAGAGGACAAAACAGTCTGTGTGTGGATCTGTGCGCTGTAACTCTGTGAGAGTAAATAAACATCCCAGGGACACAGAGGTAGGTGTGTGTGTGTGTGTGTGCGTGTGTGTGTGTGTGTGTGTGTGTGTGTGTGTGTGTGTGTGTGTGTGTGTGTGTGTGTGTGTGGTGTGTGTGTGTGTGGTGTGTGTGTGTGTGTGTGTGTGTGTGGGTGTGTGTGTGTGTGTCCGTGCGTGTGTGTGTGTGTGTGTGTGTCTAACTGATATTATGAGCTTTCCTTCTTCTCCACATTTAAAGTCCACACCATGCAGGAGCAGCAGCATCTGTGAAGTTAAAGTGTAAAAAAACAGCAGATTTTCTAAAATCCTGTAAAGAATCATTATTTGCATCAGTGGCACGCGCCATTGTTCAGAATGTGAATGCATTTTTAACCTTATTTCTCTGTGAGAATTTTCACATCAGCGGCAAATAGGAAATAAAATGCTCAGCCTGAGGCCTTAAGTCCTGACTGATGACCACCAGTAACCCACATGGGAGGGATCCTTTAATTCTGCAGAAGCAAAAACGAGAAACTCGTATTTAAGCTCTTGCTGTAGCGCCCACTTGTGTTTTTATTGTGGTCTTTTAGCTTTTATAGCGGAAGGTGGAGGACAGGAAAGCTGAGACCAGGGGAGCATTTCTAAACATCACAGCACCTAAAAACTGTTATTCATGTTTAATACATTAAACCATATTCATATATATTATGTAACTGAGACTTAAACGCTCATATCTCCTCAAGCATGACTTAAAATAAGTTATTTATGAGTTTATTTAGACACAAGCTTTTTTTTTTAGTTAGTTTTAATTTTGAGCTCTTTCTTTGCATTATTTGATGTCAGAGGTCTCTCCTCTGTGACAGACTGGATATCTGGGGGCTGTGCTACAAACTTCAACATACCCAGGATAACTTTCTTATCTGGCTTCACTTATCCTAACATCTGCAGTCAGTTTGAGCTCCATCTAGTGGCTGTTTAGCGGCCTTGCACGGTGTGACCAGGAGTGTTGCAGATTCGGCCTCAGGAAGGTTGAATCTGTTGATCTGCTCTAAAGTTTCTGTTAATACATCGACTCAAACTGAGCTCTGACAGCTCAGATCTCAGTAAGGACAAAACTAAGAAAGTCTCCCGTCCAGCACATCAAGTATTGAACAAACACACATCCCGTCACGCCCCGAAGCTTAAGCTTGTTAAATTCCCCCCTCACATTCTGAAAGGATCGGTTTGTTCCAGCTCTTCATTAAATCTACAGGATGTTTACACTGAGACCAACACTGGAACAGAAGCTGCTGATGGAGCAGCACCTTTTTTGTTTAACAGGGTGTTTATATTTTTGCTCTCGGCCCTGCTCTCACCAACAGGAATGCACATTTTATTAGACTTAAACCCAAAGCTGCATTTTCATCAAAGATTTTATGCATTCATCTGTTTGTATTTTAGATCAATCCCAACATCCAGTCTAAATTATTTGTTGTCTTTGAAAACTTTGGGATTTGCACTAAGATTTCTCTTTGCTCTGCTTTGTTTTTCACTTTCTTTTTGCCTGATTAAATTTTGTTGCTATCGATACATGTGTATTTGCCAACTGCTCTGTTGCTGCTGGGTGAAACTGGTTGCAAAGAGTGTGGTGCACCAACCTCAGCAGGAGCTTGCAAGGAAACACTCCCCAGCGGACTCTCAATGAATAAGTTTCGAAAAACGCAGCTTTTATTTTGAAGGCGACAGTTTCCATTTCCAGCTTGCATCAGGTTTTTTTAGTCTCATTAACATTGTGCATGTAGTTGGTGTCACTGGAATCAGTTTGTAGTGTTTGGGTCTTGGGGTAAAGTCTGATTCCCACTTTGGTCTTGAAACTTACCTGAACTTGCTCACCTGTCTTCTCCGAGTCAATACTTCCCTGTTAAGGATTCTTTCAAGGAGTCTTACCTTCTTGCCTCACCTGCCTGCAGACCCTCCTTACAAACCTCAAACAGTTCCTGGAGAACAAACCAGCTCCATTCTCTGAGATTACATTCACGATTCTTTTAAACTGTCTTCGAAGCAACTCTCTGTGAACCATCCAAACACCATCTGAACTGGGTCCTGCTTAAGTGTCCAGCTGCCTGGCCTGGCCTCCACGGCTTTCCAGGAAAGCTGGTGTCTTCCATGAAAACTGTGGGTAACCATGGCAACCTACAAGCAACCGAAACAATCGTGAGGAAGTTTTTTTTGTCCAACACCGTGCACCGACCGGTCTGTAGGCTGGTGTGACTGAGGCGCTGGGCGCTAAAACTTCTTGGTTAGGTTGAGGAATGCCAGTTGAGGTGATTGGATTCAAACTGAGTTGAAGACCGCTGATAATTTGTATTTGCACTTTTTAAAAATGTTTACAGCGCCTGTCACTCTTACTAGTCCTGATGGCTGAACTGAGCGTGTGCCGACTTTAATCAAACCATGTAAACAATCCACATTAATATGCAGATAGTATACATGTGCTGCAGAGGCTGAATAATGATGAAAGCAACTCCAAACACCAGCTGTTTAATTATCAGCTGATAAAGATTCAACATCATACCCGCCTCCTCATTTAACCTGATGCGTAACAGACCAAAGAGAGTGTTACCTGAGATCAGGTACGCAAACACCTGTGACAGCGCGGAGCTTTGGGAAGAGCCGGAGTGTGTGTGTGTGTGTGTGTGTGTGTGTGTGTGTGTGTGTGTGTGTGTGTGTGTGTGTGTTCTTCTGTCCCAGTGATGATGAACTCTACAGAAAAGCCCAGCAGCAAAAATATGGTGGATTTCCTGCCAAGCCCAATGTTTTATTCAGCTGTTTCCTCAGTTCTGGAACAAATTCAGAATACTGGAGATGCTGGCTGTCTCGACTGTGATAAAACAAGTATACGTATAGTTTATTTGTCTGGATGACTTCTTTGGCGTGACGCAGCACTTGCTGATTTGCAGCTTGGCCTGGATGATAAAGTTGATGTTTGGACCAAAGGGTTGTGGATTTTTGCCTTTTTTCCTCACAGATTCGAGCTGCTGATTGGTGATGCATATAAAAATAATCTTGGCTCATTCTTTGGCTCTCCCTGTGTTGTTAATGATAAAGAGGACTTAAACCTGTTAATGTGTGGTAGTACTGGGGGGCTGTGGATCATAATTCCTAAACCTAACATGTTTTCCCACCATGAAGGCTGCTGCAGTGATTCCAGACAGTTTAATGGAAAGGCTGGGATGAAGCTTTGCTGTGTGGCTGAGATGTGCTGCAGAACCTTTAGACTAAGTGCAATAACATCAGTGTCACTGGGTCATTATAACAAGCCTGCTCTGGTCCCTGAGAGGGAAAAGATTGCTGTACTTTATCCAAGTGTTTCCTGTTGTCTGCACGTGTAGCGCATTAGCTGTTGCTAACATCAGGTTAATGCTAACCAAAGCAGGAGTAAAAATCATTTCTTCTGTGTGGGTTCAAGGTGCATTGTTTTGGTATGAGGTGTTTGCACTTCTACAATTTCAATTGCACTTTGTGTATGTTAACATGAGTCCAGTGGGAACCTCCAGGCGGATGAATGGGGTTAAATGTAGAACTGTCACACGAGACTGAGGTTAGAGTCTAGTATGAAGTCAAACATCAGTAATGGCTCATTGTTTTTAGTACATCGCAGCCGTACGGGGGAAATGTTTTTATAATGCATCTATTTGGATTTTGTTAAGGCATAAATTTAGGAGCATGGCAGCTCTGGTTAGTGGGTGGCGACACAGGCGGCTGTAGCTGCTAGCTGTCTGCTCGGCTTCACCTCAGCTAACTGGAGTCCCTGAACTGGACCTCTGGACTGTGTTTGTGCTGTCGGAGCACCGTCCAAGAAAATTAAAAGAGGACAAAAACTGTCTTTAAAAACACAAATCATCTGTAAAGTAGGGGTGGGCGATATACGATAGAAACGATATAAATTTGGCCAACGACAGAGATTTTGACTATACCGCTCTATCGCGATAGCACATGTTGATGATGTCATCAAGCTGCACCTGTTTTGGTCAAAAGCATCGCAGCGGCTACAACCATTATCATCTGCAAATTATGGCGGGCGACAGTCATAACAAAGAGATGAAGCACTTTTGAAATATGGGGAAAGCCAAAAACTGCGCTTCCTCCACTTCGGTAACATTGATTCATTAATGCTGAATTCTCTCGCAGCTGCTCTGTTCCCATGTTGTTGCAGTATATTAATAACCAACCTCGTATTGTGGATGAATAATTTCAGTTGTTCTCCAGACTGAAGTTTGGCCCGTGTATAGCACCCTGCTATGCGATTGCATTTGTCCCTGACCACCAGAATCCCTCACGTTAACTTTTATCGAGTGGAAAAAAGTTGGCGTTCATCCTCCAGCTTCACTGTGCTAATGTTATGCTAACATAGCTGCGTCGCTAGCAATCACGTAGCACAACATTATATACCAGGTAGTCCAACTTCAGTAACCCTACAAACGCCACTGCTGTTTAGTTTTCTGTCTTCATTTATGTTGGAAGTGGCAGCAGAGCTGTACGTTTGAATTAGTTTCAAAAATCTCAGTCAGAACATGATATGAAATGTTTAGGTGGAAGCTAGCGAGCTAACTTCCTGCTAACTTCTAACTCCGTTAAATTTAATAAATTCTGTTTTCATGGATGCCTGGATGTTAAACTTAATTGTTACACCTGGTAAAGCAGCAACGCTTTACCAGGTGGAATTTAGACCGTTTTTAACTCTTAGTGTTCGTTTGACTTTGGGAGCTGAAGCAGACGGAGTTTTGGACCCAGATTACTCCGCGAAGCTCCTCACTACGGCAGCCGTAATGCTCTAACAATCCATCAAGCAGTGCGGCTTACCAAAGTTGTACTAAAACATTTTTTAACAGATTTCTGCAGCCAAAATCGGTTCGAGGTCAGTAAGCACAACCAGAATTCATACATAAGGCACACTCGATTTTTGAGAAAATTAAAGGATTTTAAGTCCTTATAGTGTGGAAAACATGCTATACAGAAGAAAAGAATATATCGCGATATATATCGTTACCGCACATGCTTCAAATTATATCGCAATATGAATTTTAGGCCATATTGCCCAGCCCTATCGATTATTTCCCGGTCTGCACACAGACTGTGTTCACTGTGCTGTTGATGGGATTTTTTCTGAGTTTTTGTTTTAAAAAAATCAAACATCTGTTTGAATATAACTCACTATGAATTGCCTGTTAGTAACTGGTAATTTCTCCTTTCAGTGTGATTGGTCTGCGAGCTAAAGGCCTGTATCTTTATTACAGTGTGGTTCGCCCAACAGTGCTGGATAAAAAGGCATTCTGGCATCGCTGAGCGGAGAGTTATGATAATAAAATTTTACAGTGTGACTCCCTCTCTCAGCCATCGATTCCTTTTTCTTCTCTGACTTCGCTCTGCTTGTTTGTTTTTACAGAAATAATTATTAGCATCACCTTTGAGGATTACGAATGAGATCATCCTGGGGAGGTGATGGAGACACCGAGAGCATCACTAATTAACATTGATTAACCTCCAAAGATGTTAGGACTTAAAATTACATGTACGTTATACATAATTACTGTATGAATATGACACTGTCTGTCACAGATTTAAGCAGACTCTCAGTTACCTTTGTTTGCAGTAATATTCTCTATAATATTTTGACACCACTTTTATCAGTTTTGGGCTCTGTGTTGCTGCTCGTGTTGTTCACTGAAAGCTCAAGAAGTCAACAGAGAAGCGCCAAAAGCTGCAGTACCTCTAGTGTCCAGCAGAGGTCAGTCCCCATAGACTCCCATGTTCAAATGTCCAACTTCACAGCAGAAATAAACACGTTTACAGCCTGATACAGAAACAGTTTTGGTCTCTACAGATAATTTCTCCATTTATAACAGCTGTACGAGGGTGAATTCCTCTGTATAAAGTTTGCATTATTATGGGCGTGGGCTTTTGGACTGACAGGTTAATGGTGACACAGGCAGCTGGAGCTGCTAGCTGTCTGATAGGCTTCACCTCAGCCAACTCAAGTGTTTGTTTTTGTTCTGTTGGAGCTTCCTGTTTGGGATTGAAGTTCTGCTTGCCTGTCTACAGCTTATGGATCCTGCTTTTAAGCTACTAGAGTCCACGATATAATATAATTCTACAAATGTATGTGAGTTATGCAACTTCCTGATGAAGCTGCACACAAAACACAAAAACAGCAGTATTTTATTTATTCATCGCAATGTCATGAATTTCTTAGAAGAAGTGTTTCAACATCTCTATCTGTTTTTTGCATTCAGCACACCTTGGACTTGAAAATAGGATCCACTTTTAAAATGATCACGCCGATCCTTATCTCTGATGATACTTTAACAGACATATGGGCCTTAAGTTCACCAGTACTGAATATGCTGTTGTGTGTTATTAGTATTACTTTGTAAAATAAAATTTTCTTTTAATATTTTCTTTTGTTCGAAAAAATATTTGTAATTGTTGTAAAGCGGACCCGCTGAGCTCAGTGTAGCTCTATTAGAAAGTGGGCCAATTCATCCTCTACCTGAAACAAGCCATTTCGGTGTGTTTGATGGCTGCACATACGCTGAGCCCATTATTGGAATACGTGGCCATCAGCCATTGGAGCTGGAGCTATATGTGACCTGTTGCACAGCTGGTCCGTATATTACAGCAGCTTATTATTAAAAATAGATTAATAATTGAATTAATGATTCAAGCTTTTTTGCTTGTGTGAAACTTATCCAAGCACTACACAGTAATTATTTATCAGTCTGCTTTCCTATGAAAGGTCCGTACTTTGGAGCCACTGTGAAAAATGACACATGGAGGGAAATAAATGATTCAGTGGGATTTTTTCCTTTAAAAACAGCCATCGTCTCAGAGCTTTGGACTGCTTCAGAAGGGGCCAATCTCAGAGTTACTGAAGCCCGCTCGGGCTGATCGATGCGTACGACTTTACTGCTTCTCTTCATCAGTCTCACTGTGCTGCTCCTCACTGTCCCTGTTCTCTCCTCAAACACCCTGCTGGGAGACTCATGTTGGAGTCTCGCCGTCAATCCAGACTTCACTGAACTTTTAAACCTTCTTTGACTATGATTTGATATCGCATCTGAATCCAGACATGCTGTATTCCACCCAGGCAATAAGAGGTTAAGTGAAAGCATGCAGCCATGGCGTCATGAAAGCTTCAGCGAGGCTTATTCACTTCATTACATCACTTCAATCTGGCACGACTGGCAAACAGACTCCTAAGGAGCTCATCTCGCAGTGACAGCAGTAATGAGAACAGAGTCGGTCGCTCCAAAAAGAGGCTTTAATTTGCAAAAAAGTTCAATTTACATCGACGTGACCTTTCTGTGAAATCCTCACTGTCACTGTTTGAGCCTTTTAACAGCCTGTTTCATGTCTTTTCTCTTTTTATTATATTGTAGAAGGAAGAACCTGTTTCACTCCAAGACCAGAGTGCGTAATACTCAGAGAAACTGCAAACAAACCCAAGAGCTCCATCAAAGACTCTTCAGGCTAGGTTAATGGTTCAGGACAGCACAGTTAGAAAAAGACTGAACCCACATAGCAAAATTGGTATGGCCCGGATCTGGCCCACATAATGTGCTTACACATGGTCCACATACCGCAAAGAATGACGGCCCATGTGTGGCCCAGATCAGGTTTGCCAGATCTGGGCCACACGTGGGTCAGCACAAGGCCAGTTGAAGACACACTGGTGGTCCTGTGCTGGCCCATGTGTGGACTACCTCTGGCAAACCTGATCTGGGCCACCAAAGGGCCGTCATTCTTTGCAGTATGTGGACCATGTGTAAGTTGTGTGCTGGCCCAGAACAGTTTCAGCTCTGGCCCCAGATGTCAGCCTAATGTGTATCTTAATCAAGCCATGTAATAACAACATGTGCCAGAACATGCAAAACAGTGCTAAAGTAACATGATGAGACTCTGTTCAGACTGACTTTTATATAGCGCTTTTCTAGTCTCCCGGATTACTCAAAGTACTCTATACAACATACCACATTCACACACTTTCCCTACACGGAGTGCTTCCTAACTACATTCATACACATTCACACTCTTAACATGCAGACTGGAGGAGCCAGTGATCGAACCACTAACCTTCCGATCAGTAGGTGACCTGCTTTACCTCCTGAGCTACCGCCACCCACTGGCAAAGATGAGTAAACCGTCACTAGGTTTTGGATAAAGTGTACACAAACCTGTCAAACCTGCATTTGAAACGTTGGCTACCATAGCAGTATAGTATTGCAACATGGCATTTGGGTCTTTTAACAAAAATAGGAACATAAACAATGGCATCATTGCGGTTAGAAGTGCCAGCTTGATGCCGGATCTGGGGAAGACCTGTTTTCTATGGGCCTGGGCCACATACACTAAACCACAATCGGGCCAGATATGGCATGCCATCACATAAGCAGTGGCATCATTGCCAGACCTGGCCCATATCTGGTCGACATACACTCTGCCATGACAGTGGTCAATCAGAAGTGCCAGCTTGATGCCAGGCCTGGCCCATATCTGGATGACATATGTCTTTACATGCCAGAATTCAGCCAGCAGTGCCGGCTTGATTCCAGATCCGGGCTAGACCTGCTTGCTATGTGGGAACAAGTATGGCTGTGTGGAAGGGATGCAGGAGAAAACCTCTTCTCTCTATAAACAGCATGGCAGCATCTGAACTACCAACAAGACATCAGGACCAATGAAGTTCAAACCCAGCCTTCACCACAGCGGTGGACCGATCATGATTTGGGCACCTTGCAGTCACTGAGTGTACTGTGACCTCACCAAAGTGTTCTAGAGCCAAATGTGAGGCTGTGTCCCACAGCTAAAGCAAACTGGGTCATCAACAGGATGACGATCCCGAGCACAGCAGCACATTTCCAACTTAAAAAAAGGAGGAGCTGCAGTGATCCAGACCTCAGCCTGACTGAGATCTTTTCAGTCTTTTCTGTGCATAAATGAATGTTGCAAACCTCAATGATCTGATCGACGCTATAAAGAAGAGTGGGCCAAAACTCCTCCACAGTGATGTGACAGACTGATGAAGTCACACAGGAAACCATCACTGCTGAAGGAGGTTGCATTTGAAAATGATTAGGCACATTATCAAAGATGCACAGCAGAGGTTTGTGCAGACATATTTACTCATTATTGTAGTGACGATGAAGGTAAAAGTACCGTTCTTCCTTCCCGGACCCATAACGTGAATCAGACTATTAGTTGTGCTCTGGTGGGCGGAGCTGGAGATGCTGATTGTGTTGTTGCCGTGGATGGAGCCTTCAGTGAAGCTGTGTAACTGTGACGTAGAAGTATAACCTGTAGAACAAAAAAGTCTTTAAAATGTTGCTTTGAGGCAAATCCACCAAACCTTTGGAGCTGATGTGACTGATGATGTTTTCATATCTGTGAGCACAAAAGTTATTCAGTTACAAGCGAGACGGCTCAGGATGGCTGCTGAGGACTCTGGCATGGAGCAATGTGTGAAATACTGATGTTCTGTCAGATGCTGCAGGCGTCTCACCATTGCAGACAAAGTGTCCTGACTCTTGGGTTTATTTGTGTAACCTTGTGTTTTCCTTTTGCTCCTGATTTCGGTGCTCACAGTTAGTTAATTAGGTTTAGGTAGAAGTTGTAGTTTCAGTTCAAAGCACCGTCCTTCACAACATTAAGCTTGCACACTGCCACTCACCAGTCAACACAGACAGCCAGTCAGTCACACCCTATGGGTACTTTAGAGTCACCAGTTAACCTAAACCCACTAAATGTATGTCTTTGGACTGGGAGGACGTCGGAGTACCTGCAGAGCAAACACTGGAAAAAGTGAACACAGCCACATGGTTGATGTTCTTGCTGTGAGGCAACGGAGTTAACCACCATGCTGCAACTCCTCGGGCTTCCACTGGTCCATTGCCTCGCTCTGTGGGCCCAGTAAACACTTTCCTGATGGGTTTATGGTCTCAGTCGCTGGTTTGAAGTCTTGTTGAATAAAACGTGGTGTTAATTTAGAAATTTATGATCCAATTAGAGATAGAAGAGGACGTGCTTTAACGCAAGTCATAATTGTGTGACTGTGCAGCGTTCCTCAGTTTCTCAATCACGTCCATCGATCACTCTGCACGTCCAGTTTTGAACTGCGGTGTTGGATCAGCACAAATGAGACTGGAGCCTTTATGTTCTTCAAGTTCATTCTCAATCTGACGTTTTATACGGTCTGTTTTAAATGTAGAAGTAATGGCACATTAGGTGTTGTTTCACAAAAGCATTCATACTCATTACAGCTGCAATTAACCCCCAAATGACATCGGATCATTGATTAAACAGTCTGCAGAGCTGCAGGAAGGGAGAATAATGAAAGAGTAGTGCAAAAGTGAGAGCCGGGACTGTGAACCAAAATTACAAGAGAAGACACCTGAAGCTTCTTTAAATGGATCTGTTTCATTACAGCCTGATAGACTGCGAGCGTGATTTTCTCTCTTTTTTTTTTTGATAATTGACATTTTAGAGCAGCGCGGGCTTCTGTGTGCAGCAGGAAGGCGTAGGAATACTGATTGTGCTGTTAGTCCTGTCATCAGGTCACAGACGAGCCCGCTCACTCTTTAATTACATTTTAGATTCATGTCCTAATCAGACGCTGAGACGCTCACCTTTTGGCTGCATCACAGCTTCACTTCAGTTCACCAAGGTGTGAGCAAATTCACATTTAACCTTGAAAAGATGAAATATGACCATCCTCTTCAGATTCTGTCAAACAGGCGCTTAGAGGAAACAATCAAAGAGCTGATTTTAGCTACAGTCATACATTTATTCTTATTTCAGTTTAGTTCCCAACAGGAAGCCAGGGGAGAACAGAGGAAGGAAGGATACAAGCACCAGGTGGAGAACAGGTAACAGGAAGGAGTGGGTTAAGGGTCATTCGGCTCATTTCCAGCAGCGTTTTCACTCTGTTATAGGAGAAGCGGAAATGGCCCATCAGTCATGAGATGGGCTTGACAGGGGTAAGTGTTTCGTGGTTAAGAGGTGACCCAGTTGCCAAAGAACACCTGAAATTTGGTCCATGTGAGCTGAAGCTATGGCTAAATTTAGTCAGCCAGACCGACCCTGAATCATAGCTGTCAGCCAAGTCTGAATGCAGCCCACATTTAGGCCAAACACCGATTGCTCTCTAGGTTAGAATAACTGCCCATAGGTGATGCAACAGTAGATTAACAGGAATCATGTGAGCTGAAACTGTAGAATAAAAGTACCAATTAGACATAAAAGCTATTCTTCTGAATGCACTGTTGAGCTAACGGGACTTCCAGAATCTCAGAGAGTTTCTGCAGGACTGACGTTGAGTTTCTGTTCTTTTTCTTTCACCACAGGAAACCTAAATCGTCCTCAGCATCAGTGTGATCAGAGTGTGTCTTCATCTGCTGTTCAGCGAGTATGGCTCTGTGCGTGTGTGGGCGTCGGTGTTTGGGCTGGTTATAGATGGGCCCGCCTGCTGCCCGTGACACTGCACGGGCTGAATTATAGCTCGTGTTGTGGCTGCTGATCTGTGACCTGCAGGGTCCCGTGAGCTCTGATGAACTCACCGAGGCCCGAGTGTGCCAGGAAGAAATATAATGAAGCCAAGAGGACACTCGAAACTGAAACTAGAACAATCTGAGAAAGAGTCACACTTTTTCTTTTTTTACACATTCAGTATCGCTCCACATCACAAAGTTATGAAGGTTAGCAACCACGAGCAAGAGAAGTTTAATCACATGACAAACTTGTAATTGACAATTAGTCAGCCAATGACCGTTCCCACTTCTTTCTGACTCTCAATAATCCCAGAACATCCCATGGAGCCCAACCTGTCCAAAATCCTCACTCTGATCTAAATACAGTGGGGCAAAAAAGTATTTAGTCAGCCACCGATTGTGCAAGTTCCCCCACTTAAAATGATGACAGAGGTCAGTAATTTGCACCAGAGGTACACTTCAACTGTGAGAGACAGAATGTGAAAAAAAAATCCACGAATCCACATGGTAGGATTTGTAAAGAATTTATTCGTAAATTAGGGTGGAAAATAAGTATTTGGTCACCTCAAACAAGGAAAATCTCTGGCTCTCACAGACCTGTAACGTCTTCTGTAAGAAGCTTTTCTGTCCCCCACTCGTTACCTGTATGAATGGCACCTGTTTGAACTCATCATCTGTATAAAAGACACCTGTCCACAGCCTCAAACAGTCAGACTCCAAACTCCGCCATGGCCAAGACCAAAGAGCTTTCGAAGGACACCAGGAAAAGTATTGTAGACCTGCACCAGACTGGGAAGAGTGAATCTACAATAGGCAAGCAGCTTGGTGTGAAAAAATCAACTGTGGGAGCAATCATCAGAAAATGGAAGACATACAAGACCACTGATAATCTCCCTCGATCTGGGGCTCCACGCAAGATCTCATCCCGTGGGGTCAAAATGATGATGAGAACGGTGAGCAAAGATCCCAGAACCACACGGGGGACCTGGTGAATGACCTGCAGAGAGCTGGGACCAAAGTAACAAAGGTCACCATCAGTAACACACTACAACGGCAGGGAATCAAATCCCGCAGTGCCAGACGTGTTCCGCTGCTGAAGCCAGTGCATGTCCAGGCCCGTCTGAAGTTTGCCAGAGAGCACATGGATGATACAGCAGAGGATTGGGAGAATGTCATGTGGTCAGATGAAACCAAAGTAGAACTTTGTGGTATAAACTCAACTCGTCGTGTTTGGAGGAAGAAGAATACTGAGTTGCATCCCAAGAACACCATACCTACTGTGAAGCATGGGGTGGAAACATCATGCTATGGGGCTGTTTTTCTGCCAAGGGGACAGGACGACTGATCCGTGTTAAGGACAGAATGAATGGGGCCATGTATCGTGAGATTTTGAGCCAAAACCTCCTTCCATCAGTGAGAACTTTGAAGATGAAACGAGGCTGGGTCTTCCAACATGACAATGATCCAAAACACACCGCCCGGGCAACAAAGGAGTGGCTCCGTAAGAAGCATTTGAAAGTCCTGGAGTGGCCTAGCCAGTCTCCAGACCTCAACCCCATAGAAAATCTGTGGCGGGAGTTGAAAGTCCGTGTTGCTCGGCGACAGCCCCAAAACATCACTGCTCTCGAGAAGATCTGCATGGAGGAATGGGCCAAAATACCAGCTACTGTGTGTGCAAACCTGGTAAAGACCTATAGTAAACGTTTGACCTCTGTTATTGCCAACAAAGGTTATGTTACAAAGTATTGAGTTGTATTTTTGTTATTGACCAAATACTTATTTTCCACCCTGATTTACGAATAAATTCTTTATAAATCCTACCATGTGGATTCATGGATTTTTTTTCACATTCTGTCTCTCACAGTTGAAGTGTACCTCTGGTGCAAATTACTGACCTCTGTCATCATTTTAGGTGGGGGAACTTGCACAATCGGTGGCTGACTAAATACTTTTTTGCCCCACTGTACAAGAGAAAGCGAAGCACTTCCTTAAAAACTGTACTCAAAAACACATAAACTAAAAATGCTGTTGGATATAAATTGCTAATGCTACCCAGTCATATGCAAAGTGTTAAGGCTAATATGTGACCCACCTGCCACTGAGACAAACCTTAATACAAGAGCAGTAAATCTAGGTCAGAGCAATGAGTAATATCACAAACTAACCACCTGCTGTTACCAGTTTTAAGTCATGATAAGAGGCAACGAGTCTTTTACAGCTGTGGAGGAATTTTGGCCCATTCAGCTTTGCAGAATTGTTATAGTTCAGCCACACATGAGCCGCCTTCAAGGTCATGTCACAGCATCTCAATCGGATTCGGGTCAGGACTTTGAGTGGCTTAAGAAAAGCAAAATGAAGACTCTGGATCGGCCTAGTCAGAGGTGGACTTGCTGGTGTATTATGGTTTGGTGTAATGGGACACACACCTTCCAAAAACTTCAGCTTTTGTCTCGTCAGTCTACAGAATATTTTCCCAAAAGTTTTTGGGATCATCCAGATATTTTTCTTTATGTTCCTTTTGCTCAGCATTGGTTTTCTGCCATGCAGGCCATTTTTGCCAGGTCTCTTTCTTACGGTGGAGTCATGAACTCTGGCCTGCAGTTCTTTTGTCACCTCTTGGATGAGTCGTCGCTGCGCTCTTAGGGTAATTCTCTTCAGCTGGCCAATCCTGGGAAGGTTCACCACTGTTCCATGTTCTTGCCATTTGTGGAAATTGGCTCTCACTGCGGTTTGCTGGAGTCCCTCTGCTTTAGAAATGGCTTTATAACCTTTTCCAGTCTGAGAAATCTCAGTTACTTTGTTTCTCATTTGTACCTGAATTTCCTTGGATCCCGGCGTGATGTCTGGCTTTTGAGGATCTTTTGGTCTGCTCCACCTCGTCAGGCAGGTCCTATTTAAGTGATTTCTTGATTGTGAACAGGTATGACAGTGATCAGGCCTGGGTGTGGCTAGAAACTGAATTCAGCTTTCCAAAGATGTGATACATCACAGCTAATTTATGTAATGATGGGTCGGTGACAATCGGTTTTTCACACAGGGACACGTAGGTTTGGATTATTTTCCTTTTAATAACAAACACCATAATTTAGAAACTGCATTTTGTGTTTACATTTGTTATCTTTGTCTAATATTTGAATTTGTTTGATGATCTGAAACTGTGACAAACATACATTCGAAAAACCCCATGACATAACACAACAATGGAGGACATCTAGGCGATGTTTTGTCAGACTGCCGGAGAGATCGGGTGTCTTGGCGACACCTTGGTGTCCCCTTAGAAATGGTGGAGGAGGTGACTGTGGAGATGGGTGGATGTCTCTGCCCTCGTGACCATGACTCAGATTTTTGTCAGAGAATGGATCAACAGATCGTTCTAATCATTTAACTGAGTTCTCTGCTTTGGGATTTTCATCCTGACTCCAGCTCTGTGCTGTAAACATCTTTTGTTTAATGCGATGGAACAAAAGCAAATGAATGTGACTAATACAGCTTTTAAAACAACTTAATAATGCCTGGCAGTGTGCAGCAGTGTGCAGAGGATCATCTTGAGTCACTGTGTCTTTATTTGTGAGCCTGACGTGGTTTCAGTTCGTATCAGTCCGCCACACTAACGTTCATTTTATCCTTTTCTCTCCCCCCTATGCATTCATTTCCATCCTTGTCTCCTGCCCACTAATCGCCTCATCCTCTGCACCTGCTCCCCCCCCCCCCCTTTATTCCCAACTCGATTCACCTTGTTTCCTCCACCTCTTCTTCCCTCTTTACATCTACATCTCCCTCTCTCCTTCCTCTCCCTTTCTCTCTCCTCTCAGGTGAGAAGTGTCGGAGCTTCATTGATTTGGCCCCGGCATCGGAGAGAGGTGAGTGATGATGGTCATTAGGCAGCTTCGCCACTCCCTGCCGCTCCCCACCTGTTCACTGGGCCAAGGGAAAAAAACCAAACACACACACACACACACACACACACACACACACACACACACACACACACACACACACACACACACACACACTTTCGTTTTTGGACTCTTTCACTGTTTCAGAGGGTTTTCACCTGTGGTGCACTAAGAAAAATGTGAATTCTGGGCTCTCAGAGTTTTTTATTACCTCTCACCTCCTGGACGACTGTAGTGCTGTGCCCTTGTGTGTTATGAGTTCACATCTAAAATGACAATAACAAGCGTGTTTGTGTGGGACACGTCACCAACGCTGCATGGTCATTTTGACATATCAAACTTGAAATAAACTCACAGTGGAGGTTACAGGTTTGGTGTTTACCTTGTGATTTTAATCTGAAGGAGACTTTTCCAACTCTCTCTGGAGATAAAAGCTGAAGTTTCTTTCTTCTTCCTGCATATACTCTTTATTCCCTTTTTATATCACTGAAACTGTTAAACTTCTTTTAACTACTAAGTAGTAAGTAAGTAAAATTTATTTAGTAGTTAGTTAGTAGTTAGTATTTATTTATTGTCATTGTCAAGAACAATGAAATTGCGTTTGGGGCTTCAATACAACCCCAAAAAAAAAGAAGAAGAAGAAGAAAATAATAAATACCCCTTAAAACCCAAGTGTACATATTTAACCCAGTGTGACTCCAATGCAATAAGACAATCCTTAGCAATAACATGAGAACATGACAAGTAGTGTTCGTAGAAATTCAGACAAAGACCTGAGAAACATGACAAAGTACAACAATGCAACCCATTCAATATTATTGTACTGTGAGATATGATATCAGATATGATAGTTATCTATTTAAGAAAGGGGGGGCAGGAGGGGAAGAGAATAAAGATATGATGCACCAATGCAGACCAGTTCATTGCTATTAAGAAGTTGGATATGGTTATTGTCCGTGAGAGGGGGGCAGAGAGTTCAGGAGCCTCACAGCCTGTGGATACAGGCTGTTGGCCAGTCTGGATGTTCTGGCCTGTATAGACCTGTACCTTCTCCCTGAGGGCAGCAGATGGAAAAGGTGGCGCGCAGGGTGATGTTGGTCCCGCAGGATACTGTGCACCCTCCTCAGACAGCGAGTGGGGAAGATATTACTGATCTCTGGCAGACTTGTTCCAATAATTCTGCCAGCTTCTTTCACCACCCGCTGGAGTGCTTGCTGATCGGCCTTGGTGCAGCTGGGGAACCACACTAGAAATCCATACGTCAGAACGCTGCTGATGGCACAGTTGTAGAAGTTCAACATCAGAGATCTGGGAATGTGTGCGCTCCGCAGTCTCCTCAGGTAGTAGAGGCGCTGTTGGGCCTTCCGTACAACTGAGGTGATATGGTTGCCCCAGGACAGGTCCTCGGTCACAGTTACCCCCAAGAATTTAAAACTGCTCACCCTCTCCACCGCCTCACTGCCAATGAAGAGAGGCAGATGGTTGTTATGACCCCTCTTCCGGAAATCTACAATGATCTCCTTGGTCTTTTTGGTGTTTAAGACCAAGTTATTGTCATGGCACCATGACTCTAGTTGTTGCACCTCTGTCCTATAGTTTGTCTCATCGTTGTTGGATATAAGTCCGAGCACTGTAGTGTCATCTGCAAACTTAACAATGAGATTGGACGCGCAGGAGGAAATACAGTCATGGGTGAAGAGAGTGTATAGCAGAGGGCTCAGAACACACCCCTGAGGGGCACCGGTGTTGACCACAAGGGTGGAAGAGGTGTTCTTACCCACTCTGACACTCTGTCTACGGTTAGTGAGGAAGTCCACAATCCAGTTGCACAGAGAGGAGTTAAGTCCCAGTTGGTGGAGTTTGGGACGGAGTTTGTATGGCCGGATGGTATTAAAAGCCGAGCTGTAGTCTACAAAGAGGAGCCGTGCATAGGTGTTCCTGTGTTCCAAGTGCTTCAGTAATGTGTGCAGCACTGTGGCGATCGCATCCTCGGTTGACCGGTTCTCCCTGTATGCAAACTGGTGCGAGTCCAGGGATGGTGGAAAAGCAGCTCTGATGTGTTTAATGACCAGTCTCTCCAGGCATTTGGCGGGAATGGGGGTGAGTGCCACAGGTCTGAAATCGTTCAGACATGTGACATTTGACTGTTTTGGGATGGGAACGATGGTTGCTGCTTTGAAACAGGATGGTACCAGTGAACAGGACAACGAGGTGTTATATATAGAGGTGAAGACGTCCGCCAGGTCCGCAGCACAGTCTTTTAGCACCCGGCCCAGCACTCCATCCGGCCCGGCCGCCTTCCTGGTGTTAATGCTCCGGAACACGCGCCTCAGCTCATGAGTGCTCAGGACTGGAGCAGGATCGGTTGAGGGGAGAGGGGACAGGACAGGGTCGGTGTTCTCCCTGTCAAAACGGGCATAAAAGAGATTTAGATCCTCAGCCAGAGTAGAACTGTCGGCTGAGGGTGATGGTGTTCTCCTTTTGTAGTCCGTGATAGCCCTGATGCCCTCCCAGACCTGCCTTGGGTTTGTGTTGTTCTCAAACCTGGCCTCGATACGCCTCCTGTGCTGCTGCTTGGCAGTCTTGATGCCTCTTCTCAGGTTGGCCCTGGCAGCACTGTATGCTTCCTGGTCCCGGATTTGAAAGCGTTGTTCCTCGTTCGAATAAGTTGTTGAACTCCGTGTGTCATCCAGGGTGGATTATTAGGGAACACACGGAATCGTTTCCAAGTTGTTACATTGTCCACACAGAAACAGATGTAGTCCAAGACAGTGGAGGTGTAACTGTCCAATGCGACACGATTGTCAGTGTCCTGCACCTTGAATACATCCCAGTCTGTGCAGTGGAAACAGTCCTGAAGCATCGGAATAGCGTCCTGCGGCCATGTTCTCACGGTTTTGGTTGTAATCCCAGTGCTCTTGATCTTTTGTGTGTATATTGGGTGTAGCAGAAGGGAGAGATGGTCTGACAGACCCAGGTGGGGATAAGCCTGGGCTCTGTACGCATTCGCCATGTTGGTGTACACCTGGTCCAACGTTCTATCTCCTCTGGTAGCACACTTCACATTACGGTGGAAATTGTGAAGTACAGATTTCAGGTCCGCGTGGTTAAAATCCCCAGCCGCAATAAAGACACTGTCCGGGTGTGCTACCAGGCTGTTATTGATGCTGCTGCTCAATTGTGCTAACGCTAGCTTAGCATTAGCATCTGGTGGAATGTAAACAGCGCAGATGTAAACGGCAGAAAATTCCAGAGGGAGATAGAATGGACGGCACTTTAACACCAACAGTTCTACCTCTGTACTGCACAGTCTTTCCGTTACCGTGACGTTCGTGCACCAAAGGTTGTTAATATAGATGCACAGCCCCCCGCCAGTCTTCTTACCCGAGTCCGCAGACCTGTCGGCTCGATAGGCGGTGCGGCCTGCTAGATCAATAGCCGCATCGGGAATGGCGCTGTCCACCCAGGTTTCAGTGAAAATCATGCACGAACAGTTATTAAAAGTCCGTCGAGTGGCAATCTGCAGTCGTATCTCATCCAGTTTGTAATGGATTGAACGGGCGTTGGAGAGGAATATGATCGGGAGTGGTGGTTTAAACGGACCAGTCTTTAGCCGTGCCCACAGGCCTCCCCGCCTGCCTCTCTTCTGCCTCCGCTCGCAACGTCTCCTCCTGCGGCTTGCTGTTGCGGGTAGCCCCGGGGGTTGCTTAACGATCTCCGGGGGGATGAGATACTCGGATGTTAGTTGAAGATCTCCACGGCTTAGTTGTAGTAGATCATCTCTGTTGTATTGAAGTAACCCCAGACTGTGTGAAATAATACACAGTACCACCAAAAGTGTAGGAGCTCCGGGCCGCTGCGTCTGTGCGCGCCGCCATCTTGCCAATAGAATTATATAGCATATTTCACAGATAAAAATCACAAAGTGCTTCAGAATAAATTCAGAAATACAAATAAAATAATATAAAACAGTGAAAAAAAATGTTTGCATAAAAATGTCTTCAGCTGCTTTTTACATCCAGTCGATGGAGTCTAGACCGCGTAACGACAACAGCAGGGAGTCCCACAGCCTGAAAAGCCCGATCCCCACGTGTTTTAAACCTAGTACCAGTAGCCTCTGACCTGACGACCTAAGTGCTCGGGATGAAGCATGAGGTTTCAGCAGGTCAGAGATATACTGGGGAGCTTCACCGTGCAGAGCTCTAAAAGTTACAACTAAAATTTTAAAATGACCCCTAAAATTTACAGGCAACCAATGAAGAGAAGCCAAAACTGGAGCAATGTGTGACCTCTTGTTTGTGCCAGTTAAAAGTCTTGCCGCTGCATTCTGTACAGACTGAAGGCGATCCAGAGCGGATTTGTTGAGACAAGTAAAAAGACCGTTACAATAATCCAAACGAGAAGAGATAAAAGCATGAATCATCTCAAGTTCTGCCTTTGACACACGTCTGAGTTTAGAAATGTTTCTTAGATGATAAAAACCGTTCCGGACAAGTTGTTTAGTGTTTCTCAAGAGACATTGAACTGTCAAATATACGTTTCTGAGACGCGACTGAAATGAAGGGTCTAAAAAAACTGAAGTGCTGCTTATTTTCTGAGAGCATGTGATCAGGTGCAATAATCAAGGTTTCTGTTTTATCTGCATTTAACTGGAGGAAACTGTCATTTAACCACTGTTTGATCTCAGACAGACAATTATTTAAAGACGACAATTTATAAAACTCAGAAGCTTTGAAAGAACAGTATAACTGAATGTCATCAGCATAGAGATGATAAGAAATATGTAACGTCTGATAATTTGGCCTAGAGGGAGGATATACAGCAAAAAGAGAATCGGACCTAAAACGGATCCTTGAGGTGCCCCAGAAGGCAGAACTGATGTTTCAGACAACACATTATTCATACAGACAGTAAAGGATCTCTCAGATAGATACGACATAAACCATTTAAAACAACACCAGTAA